CTCAACAATGCAGGAGTCCATCTCTGAATTCCTCCTGACTACTTCCTCCTCTTTGTTGCACTCAGGCCCATTAATTCCTCCTAAAAACGTCACTCTATAAATAGTGACAAATATGTAATTTACAAAAACATTGCACTATGTTTCTATTAAATGCTAATAAACTTATGAGTAAATTGTGCTTTTTTAAGGAACTATTTTCAGCTGTGGATTAACATACAAAAGTGCACTGGCTTTTGGACAACAATGAAGATCTATGACACAAAAGAAGAAGAAGAAGAAAAAAAAAACATTTAAAGCCTTGGATCCACATACAATGCTTCTCAACAGGATCACTTCATTTTTGGTATTGGCCTCCTAATGGACGTGTTTGAAATAATAAACAAAACAAAAAGAGTATTGTTGTGCATTTGAATTAACATTGACAACGCTGCTGTGCACTTCGAGACAACAATACAAAAGCCCATAGGAGTCAAAAACCAGCATCTGACAACAACAACAACATCATATATCATCAGACAATGAAACTCAGTGTTCTTGTGTCTTAAATGTGTGTTCGCGCCAGGAGTTTTTAAATATTTTATCAGGACACACAATAGACAGCACAGCATCAAACTCAACATACTTTGATTTATTGATCTGTGTCTAAACTTGCTCAGTGACTTTGTTTGTAAGCCAATAGAAGGCCACGTGCGGAGAGAACACAGTGCATTAATCCTCGCCGTTGGTCCCATTACGATAGCTCTAAATAGCATTGTTAGATGATCTAATAAAGAGACTCCATTTTCATGGCTGCCACAGCCCAAGGGATTATTTCATTTTTCAAGCTGTTGTCACCTGCACGCTGCTCTGAAAATAATTTGGCAGAAACGCAGGCAGCCAGGCACGTCTAAAAGATTACACTTGTAGGTTCACAGGGGCAAAACATCTGTCGTGCCCCTGCACCTGCTACAAGGTGCATAAATCAAAAGGGGGGTGGGGGGAGTGAATTTAAAGAGATGCTTTCAGAGAATGAGCAGCAAAGTGAGTTTGTTGGAAAGTGAGTGAAACGCTGATCAGTAACTCGAGGTTTCCGGATAAAGTTATAGACTAACTGTGGAAGGTTATGAACTGGAAGTCTTTAACTTTACATTGAAGAGTAGAGGAGGAAGAATGAGGTGAGGTTAATGCAACGCTCAGGCACAGGGCGCGTGTTTCTCCTCTTTGATTCTTGCCCAATAGAGGGCAAAGGAAATCTTTAACCATAGAAGGTCAAAATGTACCAAGCAAAAAAAATGATATACAGAATGAAAAAAGAATAAGACAACTGATGGAAATTTCCACTTCCTGTTCCCAGCAAAACATGTCATTGATATGATCCATGTTATACACGTCGCCTGTCAGTGGTTTCAATGTTCAGGCTGATCAGAGAATGTTTTACAGTTTGGTGCTATTTCACCCAAAATCACAAATGTTAACTTCAGGACAACATGACATCAGTGCAGTCTTTAAGATTCATCCCTACTGGGAACATGGATATAGGTACAAATCAATCCGTCCAATCACAGCTGATATATTTTAGTCTACGCCACAGAGTTGGACCAGCACACTGAGCCACAGTGCCATTAATAGGGCCATGCCTCTGGCGTGGCTAAAAGCAGCTCTGGCTGTACCTCCTAAAAGCGCTGCAGGCCTTAGAAGAATTACATTCAGTCCAATGCAGTTTTATTTATACCGCGCCAATTCACAACGCAAGTCATTTCAGAGCATTTCGCATCATCAGGTCTAGACAATGAACTTGTCTCCATACTTGTCGAGCTGGATCTCATTTGATACGTCTGATCACCACAAGGGACGAGGACAAGTCATTGGAATTTAAATGCACAAGGCTGTTTTAAATCATATTTAAAAGACAGATTAGCAGTTTGCTCATGCCCGCGATGATCGTTCCACAGAGTTCTGTTCTTTTCACCATGCACATGCTCTCCATGTTATGCAGAGGACACTCAGCTATATTTATCTATGAACCCAGATGAAACAAGCCAGCTAGTCAAATGTCAAGCATGTTTTCAAGACATACAGGCCTTGATAACCTGTGATTGTTTCTGTTCTGCTACATTCAGACAAAGCCTAAGCTATTGTATTTGGCTTTAATCATCTTGGAAATTGCCTTGCACTTCTGTGGGGTTGTTTTTGACCAAGAAATGTCACTAAAACACACGTCAACAAGCCTTCTTTCATCAGTGCAATATTGTCAAAAATTAGGAACATCCCGTCCCAGAGAGAGTGAAAGCAGGGAAGTGAATTTTCTGGTCAAATGGAGACAATGTGATGTAATAGCAGGATTTGCAGTGACAATTTGCCAGCAACAACAATCTAGCAGGATATAATGAACCCACAGCACATCCTTCAGGCTGCAGCAGTCTCACAGAATCATCATTACGAAACAACTTCAATAACAATCACAATCTGTTGATGAGTAAGAGGGAAGAGTGTAAAACGGAGAGTGAATACTTCCTTGATGAGACACACGGTCATTATGTCAGGATTTAAAACTGGTTTTATAGTTTAATTTGCTGAAGGGTGCTTCAAGTCAGACACGAATGGATCCCGGGGTGAGCAATTATTGTCCATGTGGAATTTAATGTGTTAATTGATATCATCTTTTACAGTTTAACAGTTCATTAAATTGTATAACTTTATGTAAGAAGATATTACCTTGAGCAACTTCTATTCTTCAATTTTATTCAAGATCATTGAATGTATCCTTGTTGAGTCAGTGCTACTGACATTTAAAAACATAGTCGATTTATTTGAAGGTTTAATAAAAGTTTCTTTTAATGCCTGCGTGCCAGACTATTGTTTCAAACCGAGCAAAATCCAATACATCAGTGTGACACAGTCTTCCATTGTGTTTTTGTTTTTTCCAACATTAGCAGACATATAGGGGACTGTGCACTCAACAGGAAGAAAGGCAGCTCTACAAATTGTATGTATAGGCTCACACAAAACACAGTTTAACCCTTACCTACCCAGTAAAGTACACATGGCAACGATAATAACATTTCAGAAATCTCATCGAGCATCGTCTCGCATCAGCTCAGCACTGAACCAATCAAACAACTCGGCCGTCAATTGTCAATCGGAGAGATTCTGATCAAATTTAGGTGACACAAACAATAAAAAAAAAAGCAGAGTACTGAGTTATCCTCGCCATACAGGCTCATTACCATCAAAATAAATGTCATCCGTCAAACCTTTTGAAAATACTTAACTTTCAAAAAGGTCTTTGAATGTCAAAACTGACATGAAAAGCACATCAAATGTCAGCAAGCATGTTCTATAACACTGGTCGAGCAATGAGCCACAGCCGGTAAATGACGGGTTTAATTTTTATTTCTTTTATTTGCACATGGAACCATTTCAGCTGTATTGTCGCATATGAACTCTCCCTAAAAATATCTGTTCTATTTCCATCAAAGCCTAATGTTTGATATTTGGCTATTAATAACTACAAACACTGATTTAGCTTTTGTTGTCCATGCTGGGAAAGATAGGCGGGGGTGTTCAATTCAACGAAACAAAAGAAACAGTCACTGTAGCTGAAAATCAAAATGCACGTTTGCTGCACTACATACACAAAATAAGGAATTACATTCTCCTCAGCAGTAACCACTATGACAGGTCCCTGTCATTACTTTTGCTGTTTTAAAAACAATGCAGGAGCTCCAGAGCCAAAACAGCTTGTTGATTATTCAATTAGATATCAGCAGAGAATAAATTTGCAGCGTTTCTAATGACTGATCAATTGTGTAAGTCACCATTTGAGTAAAACAACATATATATTGTGAGCATTGCTCATATTTTCTGGAACAAAAGAATAATTAACTTGTCAAGAAAATAAACATCAGCTGCAGCCCTAAAAAGCCCTTTGAATAATTCCAAAGTCCAAGCAGCCAAAGATGAAGGAATGCTGGAGGCAAGAAAGCGAGGGGGGGAAAAGAAGTGTACAATGAACCGTTTCTGCTTTCACCGCTGCAGTTCCTACACAATGTCTATTCAAAACCGAGGCTTTTGTATCTCCGCACAGCTGAAGCAGAGCAGGTTGTCACAAAGGACAGCTCTAAAAATAGGAGCTCGGCTTTTCTGCGGCCGAGAGTGGCAGGTTTGTTCTCTCTGCATATATCAGCAGGTCTGACTGCTCGACACTTTGAGCTCTGATCTTTTCAACCTCGTCCTCATAATCCATTTCTGCTTGGACATGGCAGGAAAGCATGATGAAATATGGAGATAGAATACATATATACATATGTGTATATGTTCAAGACCTACGTAATGTCATGTTTATTTGCTTTACAGGTGCAGCAAAAATGTTAGACAGGTCTTCAAACAGCTTCTTTATGCTTTATGCGATCAGTAAATCATCACCAGTTGTCAACAGTGAGGCAAAACCCACCAACCACACCCACACAGCGGGGATAATAATAATCCAAAGAGCCTAAAGACAGTAAATAATATTATCAAGCACATCAACAGAGAGGCACACTGTTTGGGATACAGTACCATGCACCTCAATCAGCTAAATTGTTACCATTATCTCAGTTTACAGGCCCATCAGCTATACCGGAGTGATGTTTATCATCTCTGTGTCATCACCGGCGACGTGATGAGGTCTGGTCTCAACCAGGCATGCTCACTTTTCAGATCAAAAACAGGATAATATGGATGGAAGCAGAAGACGGGGCCGTGTTTTTTATCAAGGCCGTTTAGAAGAATTCAATTCATGTTGCTGTTGATGTCGTGGTAATAGAATTGGAGCGTGGTGCAGGCTTCCCTCTACGTCTTTATCAGCCTCCATGCCAGCAAATGGAGGGTATTTATTAAGGAAGTCCACCAGTAGCTACAGATACAACGAACGGGGAGCAGACACAGATAAAAACCAACAGCAGAAGCACAAACACAGACAGAAAGCAGAAGACACACACTGTAAACACAACAGACAACATTGTTAATAGATACGGTACCTGAGGTTTATTGCATTCCTGGAAGCCAGATTAAGGAGAGAGCCATGAAAAGAAGCAGAGGAGATGAAAGTTATCAAACATGCCACTTGCCAGTCGAGGATGTGAGAAATTGTAGGTGAAGGCTTCAGTGACATGTTAAAATGAAACATTCTGCAGCACACTGAGACAAAATGTCCCAGTTAGACAGAGAATGAATTCAGCTGCATGTGAGTGCCTCCTAAAATCATGTAAAAAAAAATATCAGTCTTACTTTTCACCCACTGAAAATGAACAAGTTTCTCTTGTTTTTTTGCTGCCTGCTCGTTTTCCCATGTGAAGAATTTCCACAAAAAGTTCCTATGTTAAAACGGGCGATGCCACTCTTCTCAAAGTTTACTTGTTCTGAAAACAAAGACTGGATCAACCTACAGGCAAAACCTTTCTCATTGTTCGAGGACTTTGAAGATTAATTCATTTTCAAGGTGAAATTTCAACTTTCTCTGTGTTCTTAGCCAAAGACAGGTAGGAAACACACATACACTGGCATTATTATGCGGTCTTGCACACACTTCCTTCTATTCAGCACGCCTGCAGATTACTGAACAGATCCCTTCAACTGCTCAACCTCCGTATTCCCTCTGCAGACCAACCTTGACCTCTAAGCACACAATAATTAAAAGGTGCAATGTGTTTTTAAAAAATGGCTATATATTTTATAAATTAACTTGGAAACCTTTGGTATTATTACCTTAAACACATGAGACCATGATGGAGACATATTAGAGCAGTGCTGGCCGATTTCAAATGAAATACCACACATTAAATTCTGTTCATTTCTGTTGCTGAGAGTATAACTTAGCCTCTGTCCCTGAGATTTGGGGAAAACATCGAATTCCAATATTTTGGACCAATGCTGCTTTTGCAATATACTTTTAACAATCAGGCCCACAAATATACCCTTTTTTGACATGAAAAGAATCCATCCATCATCTATACACTGTTGAATCCTCACTAGGGTCGTGGGAGGCTGGAGTCTATCCCAGCTGACTTAGGGTGAAGGCAGGGACACCCTGGACAGGTCACCAGTCTATCACAGGACTATACTTAGAGACACACTCACATTCACACCTACAGACATTTTAGAATCACCAATTAACCTCAGCATGTTTTTGGACTGTGTGGGAGGAAACCGGAGAACCCGGAGAGGGAGAAAACATGCAAACTCGGTCCCAGTGGCCCCACCGGGACGCGAACCGGCGACCTTCTTGCTGCGAGGCAACAGTGCTACCAACTGCTCCACCTTGCAGCCATAAAAAGAATGAG